TCCCTGCTTCAGCTTGCAAGATTCACTTCCTGCAAGATATCCCCAAGGAGAAGCCACATGGACCTATCCCCGATGCAGCCCTGGGTGCTGGAGCAGCCGCATGGAGAGCCCTGCCAGCGCTGAGATGCTTACATGTTTACTGATTCAGTTTTCCTCCTGCAGTTACCTCATTGTGTGTGTTTTGTGAGATTTAGGAGGTATTTGTAGATTGGTGTCGGACATCTGGGCTAATGTTGGACTTATAGGCTTGGACAGCACTGGGTTGGGATGTTTTCTTAATGTACACAGACACTTTATAGAAGACTCTTATACATATATGAGTTTCTGTGGACTTGCTTCTCTCGTCTACCCAGACTCACACACCAACAGAGCGAAACGGACAGGATAGAGTGAAACTGCTCCCCTGGGTTTCTGAGACTTTAAATCGTTCAAGGAGTAGACAGCTTCATTTTCTCCCAAGGAGCCCTCGGTGGGTTTGAAGGGTGACCTTGTGGTTGGCAGCTGAATGCACGCCCTCTACCCTACCAGGAACCAAACTGTGCACGGTTGTGGAGCCAAGAGGTGGCAGGGCCCGGACGTGGACACAGGTTGTCCAGCTTGGGAGCAACCCGCTCTTCCTCGGTGGGGTAGTGGTTCCGCATTGGTTTGGCACGGTGACTGCAACTACAGGCACAAACTCAGCGATGAGACTGTGACAGTGGTGCAGGGCGGGGCCGCAAACGGTTCTCTCATACACAGGGTCACCCTGAGGCGGAAGGGGCTCGACAGCAGCTCACAGCAGCAGCATTAAGAAACCTTGGAAGTGTTAACAGTTAAGAGATTGACTGCTAACCAGAAGGTTGGTGGTTCAAACCCCCCTGCGTCTCTGCACAAGAAATATCTAGTGACCTGCTACAGGAAAGATGACAGCCTAGACATCCCAACGTGATGTTCTACTGTCACAGGAGATCAAAGTAAAAAAATAATAATAATCTGATGTCCCTAACCACAGTCGGAGGATAACTAAAGTAACAATTTGCTGTATGACTTTGAGTGAACTGCTATTTGTGTTCGCTTTGCACGAAGGAGCAAATTCCTAGCACCAGTTACCTCGGAGGATAAGGTTAGGGAGCGTGACTGCTCACGTGTTCTCTGTCACCCTCTAGGTTGTCTGCCTTCTCACTGAAGGGGAGCGATCCAGAGAGGGAGCTCTGCTGGGAGGGTGGGTGGGGAGGTCACTGACGATGCGCAAGTGCTTCACGGAGGTCGTACTTGTAGAATGTGTGCACCGGTAGACGCAGGGGGGGTTGAACCACCAACCTTCTGGTTAGCAGTCAAGCTCTTAACTGTAGAATGTGTGCACCTCCCGCAGGCACAAGCCGTAACTGACAATCCCTAATTCACACGAATACATGTGTCATGTGTATTACTGTTGACAAGAAAAATAAACTAGATAACAACGTAAAAAGATCCAACAAAAAGACGATCAGAGCTGTTCCCTAAAAAGAAAAGTTCTCCCACCAGTGTGATAGGCAAATGAGCAAACTCAGCACACTGCCATCTTAAATCTATAATCAAATCTTCACGATAACCTCTCAGACAAACTTTTCTTTCCAACTTATTGCATGTAAGATTGTGTTTCTCCCCCGCTCGGTTTTCTCTTCTGCCCTCTGCCTGTACTAAAATATTCACATCACACTTTGTGCCGCTGCCTATCAAGAAGATGGAAAAATACAGTCATCAGCCCTTCCGGTTCTGTTCAAGCACCTGCCCCACCCGAGACCCACTCTTTCAATGCTCCAACTTCCTGACTCTAAGGTATAAAGAGCTGAGAAAGAATGGAAATTTACAGAGAGAGAGTATGAGTGATCACTGTTACCCAGAAAGCAGTTTCCCATTTTGTTCCTAATAGGCTGAAAAGCTGATGCAATTAACTTATAACTATAGCAACTCAGCTGGCACCAGGTCCTTGTTCTCCAGCACAGCGCCTCAGACTCCAGGTGGGGGCCGCTTCAGGCAACGCAGGGCCGGGCAGGAGCAGTGTCTGCAGGGAGGGCATGGTGCTGGGGTACAGCGTGGGAGAGAAGTTGGCCACATTTGGCTGCCTGGCTCCCCAGTTACACATTCCTGCCTGGAGCAGAGACTCCCACATTCTCGAGGACTCCAGGTCTTCTGAAACCCAGAGGCCAGATGACACCCTGAAATGGGATCCTCTTTACACCTTCAACCAGAAAGATCCCCTCAAGCTGTCTTAAAACCAATTGGTGAATTAAACTACGGAGGAGCGGCTGTCTTGGGCACTGTGTTCTTGTACATCCACGTGGACTCAAATGGACAAAAGCCACATGAAACACTGGATGGGGACCTGATGGGGCGGGGGCTGATGTGAGTCAGGAGAAACAACTCAGAGGGGAGGGAGAGGAAAGCTGCACAGCACCGAGAGTGTCACCAGGGCCATGGACTTGCACACGGAGCCTGGCGGAACTGTGTGCACTCTGCCGGGGAGTCAGCAACAACAAGCGATGTAAATGTATTTCCCTAAACCCCTACCAGCTTCCTCTGCCTTGCCTTTATCGATGCCAGTAAAACTAGAGCCAGCCAGTACTTCACACAGTAACATCTGGGGGAGGCCGCAGAGGGATTTCCTCCACATTCTGGCTAGCTCCCAAGCACCCAAAACTCAACTCCAGAGGTTCGTTAGAAAAGGAACATAGCAGTCTGTCTAAATAAGATAGGCTGGATGAACAATTTGGAGGAGAAAACATGACTGACGGTTCCCAGGGAACATGGGAGAGGAGGAGGTGGGGGGAAAGGAAGTGGGTGTT